CAAGTATGATACAAGATGGCTAATAAGACAGACTAACAAAGATGGAAGACCATTCAGTCAAGTCAAGTCACCTTTATGTATATATCGCTTTTTACAATACAGATTGTATCAAAGCAGCTTCACAGTGATAACCTGAAAATAATACAACAAGTTTGTTTCTAGAAGAAAATTGCATCATCGTCCACCTGAAGTAAGGAAGATCAATAATATTGTTGAATATTAAATGTCCCCATTCAATTTTGCACTTACATAGCTAATAGATTAGAAAGTGTGTGAAAAACACGGATCAACATCGGCAGAGCGTTTGAATTATGGAGAGACCTCCGCTATTTTTATTGTGATAAATTACAAGTTTTCAGATATGCTGAAATAATGGTAAACTGTAATGAAATAGCAAGGTAAACTACAACATATATGAGACATGAAATGAATACAAAAGACTGTTCCAGGATAACAAAAAGTACGTGCTTTAGGATGTAACTTTTATTTTATGTACTAGATCTACTGTCTAACGTCACTCATCCCACTACTATCATATTGTTTATAATACACATTTCCAGACACGTTCAGTACAGTAATGTTACTTCCTACGATCTTACTGTTACACTGAAATTGTTTCGTTATCATATTATAACCGTTTTCGTTATCATATTATACATTCACCTATGTTGACATTGCTGATTGTGAAAGATACACGAATAGTTAGTGAAATGCCTTATACTAGATAACACCACAAATGTAACGTTATCATGGTAAGAGAATGGAGCATTAGTTCAACGTCAAGCTGATAAAAGTAGCCTATTATTGTAACGTTGCAGTGGGAGTTTACACGAGTTTCCGGCATGTTGTGTGATGCTTTCCCCGGTGTGTTGAAAAAGTCTCAGCGTGGCCGTGTACCATGAGTGCTCGCTTTTGTGTTCGAGCACGCGCAAGAGCACGAGCGCTCTTGTAAAAATTGGTTGCAATCTGAAACATCACTGATAGAGGCCGCTTAAAAGTACATATAGCACCTTTAATCTCTTCACTAATATTATCTTCTGTAATAAAAGATACTCCTCTCCCTCTCTATATATGTCATATCAGTGGCGTGATTTATTTTTGATTGATATTTGAAATCAACCCAAACAAGCAAAATAAAGCTTCGCGAAAAATAAAGCGATGACGAACGAACAACAAGAAAGAACCAAAAATGAACATACGATACATGAGTAAAAGGAAGAATTCGTTGTTAGTTGCAAGAAGCACACATTCAAAACCAATGTTACTGTAACGGGGTTCGTTGTTATGGGAAGGAGGCGGGAACCGGCGAACGTTCAATGATTTTAATAAATAAACAAATACAAAATGAAAGTAAAACCAGCAGCCCCTCACGGACGACTGCTGGCCACAGAAACAAAACACAAAATAAAATAAGGCCTGTTCCTCTCTCTATCTTCACTGTCGTCGCTCCTCCTTTATGCCTCCGCTCCTCCGTGAGAGATGCGAGACCGGTGCGTCTCACAGGTGTCGCTCATTACCACTCACGCCACCGGCCTCGCGCCGCTCTCACGTCACTCGGCCTCGTCCTGCTCGCCACATACCCCCATCGCCCCTCGCAGGCCGGGGGGTACCCACGAGACTGCGCTCTACTCCCCCCCCTCCGGGGGAACCGATCACGGTGGCCGCGGCACCTGGGGGTATGGATAGACGAGGCGAGAGAACAGGAGACGGAAGCATGAGGAGCGACAGATACGAGAGAGGGGAGAGAGGAGAAAAAAAAAAAATCATGGTCCGGTTCCCGGACACACTGCCGCTCGGTCCTCAGCCAGCTGAGAGACTCACTCGCGGTGCCATGCGATGGTACTGGACATCCGTTGGGGAAAGGTTCGACACTCCTCCGCCTCCTGGCGGACGGCGATGGCTCCTCCGGTCGAGGGCAGCCGGCAGCGAGTCCTCCGTTCCCTGCTCCGCCCCCATCAAGGCCGACGGCAACAGGCTCCGGCCCACGGCGAACGGGAGCGACTCCTCCGCTCCCTCTCGGACAGCAGGCACCCCTCCTCGACCCAGGAGCACGGCAGCGAGGTCCCTGTCCCACCTGCTATTACATCGCTCCAGCACCATCGCCTCGGGCAACAATCGGCGGCCATGGCTCCCTCGTGCTACCCGACCTCCTCAGCACCGCGATCCCCCTCAGCAGCGAGGGCTCTCCGACAGCGTGTCCCTCCTTCCTCCCGGGTTTTCGGCACCAATGTAACGGGGTTCGTTGTTATGGGAAGAAGGAGGCGGGAACCGGCGAACGTTCAATGATTTTAATAAATAAACAAATACAAAATGAAAGTAAAACCAGCAGCCCCTCACGGACGACTGCTGGCCACAGAAACAAAACACAACATAAAATAAGGCCTGTTCCTCTCTCGATCTTCACCGTCGTCGCTCCTCCTTTATGCCTCCGCTCCTCCGTGAGAGATGCGAGACCGGTGCGTCTCACAGGTGTCGCTCATTACCACTCACGCCACCGGCCTCGCGCCGCTCTCACGTCACTCGGCCTCGTCCTGCTCGCCACAGTTACTCACTTATGAAGCAGGAACAAAGCAACCGTGGCGTCCTTTTTCAGGCCTTACCGCTTAGGTCTCTCCAGCGCTGGAAAGCTTTTCTAATATTAACGTGGGTCCTAAAGCTCTTGCCTGATCATTACCCTTCTTTTTACAGTGATACTCCTCTATTTTTTTTCTCTTTTGTAATGTCTCTTAGCCATCTCTTTTAACAGTCTTTCTTCAAACCTCCCTCTTTCTCACTCTCTCTCCTACCCCATCATGAGTGTATAGGCCCCTACTGCTGATTGGCTACAAGTTTGTTGTGGTGCTCGGTCAATTACACTTTCAACAGCGTTTTTTCAGAAACAGCTTACTGCACCTTTAGGGTGTGTTGTTCACACTTGGCATGTTTCGTTAGATTAAAATGAATCCTGGTGCGATTTCTCTGTTAGTGCATTTCATTTGAATAAATGTCAAAGCTACCATCTGAACCCTGGTGGACACCAAACAAGCAGACCAAGACAGCTGAAATGATGGGGTCAGCTTCCAAAAAACACTGGTGCTGTTCAAATGAAAAATGAACTCAACAAGGACCAAAGACATGTAAACGAATCAAAAACATGACATGGGTGTCGCAAGATGCGACCCTAAAAAGACAGAATGCTCAAGCATAACGTTTCCCTTTCGAGGGAACCCGTGCTGCGTCATATGATGACACTTTGGGGAACGCTTTCAGCGGGACTGTGTCTGAAGCACGTGTGCAACTGTGTCACCTTGTGATGTGTGACGGCGTAACGTGGAAGCTACAAAGGGAAGCCAGCAAGACAGTAATGTCAGCTCTTCAGCCAGGGCTCTGTGTCAAACAGTCTGTCCTATTTGGTGTTGTTTGTCCCATAAGAACTTGAAATGTTAGTATAAGCATAGCTGAAGGCATGTGTCTTCCTGCCCGTGTTAAAACTTTGGGAGGTGACAAGCGATCGGTGTGTGATACTGTTTGGTTGCGAGGCATGCACAGTTAGCTCCTGAGGGTGCTGGCTGTGTTCATTGAGAAATATATCGACGCGCACTAGCAAGCATTAAAAATGGCCTTCAGCTTGATTAGAACTACTAGTTATGAATAAGCTACACTATATTCTGTTATCATATTCATAACTTATTTAATGTATCATGGCCTCTCCTGTTGTACAGATGAACTGTGAAAACAAGTTTTATACCTCCTCAAGGTAATAGCAACAGCCGAACAGAGAGACACCATTTAGGGAAGTTCAGACTCTTTCATGATAACTGATAACCTCTCCTTGATAACAACTTCACAGTTTCCATACTAAAGCCCAGCTCAACCACCATTATTCTAGTACCTCATTATTCGACATGGCCTCATAAAAAACGTCTTCGTAAAAAAAGGGACATGGAAAGTCCAATGATGTTTGATAATCTCCAAAACATGCATTCATGCAAATAATGTTTCAGAACCAGAGCTACACATGCAAAGCACACCTCTACAACTGTACAAAAATACAAAGTACAATGTGAAGGACAGTGAAACCATACAGATCAAACATTGTATCAGGTGCACCAACATTAAAATGGAAAGCATATGATCAGTGTACTCATTGTGTACCTGATGCTTTGCAAATCTATCAGGGGATTTATATTTGTGCCTATAATGATTATCGTTTGCTTTAAGGGTATGAGTAGGATTTATGTTTAGGGGTAGGGTAATATTCACTCATAACCACAGTCTCCATCGTTTCCTGTCTCCACTAACAGTTCATGAATAAAAAAATCCAAAAACCACTATTATAATATTATGCCATTACAGTATAAATACTGTATATCCACATTATTATAACATACTGTTATAATTATTATTACATACTATTATAATAATACTCTAATAATAATATATGTAGGCCTAACTAATTACACTCCAAATTACTGTAAGATGTATATTATCAGAAATATTTTCAACTATTTTATAACACCTTTAGGAAAAAAAATACTAAAAGAATAAATATGATGCCACATTACAGGGTTCTTGATGCAAATAGCCTACTTCAGGGACACTCCAATACACAATGTATTTGGCACACGAGAAGCCAAGCATTCTGCGTAAATAAAGCAACATAAATGTATCAAAACCAAGTAGGTAGCCAAAATAGACAGCATTCTGGGGCATCAAAAAAAAAAAAAAAAAGATTCGACTACAAACAAGCCGATATGATTCACCAAATGCGAACGTTTTTGTAGATTTCGCGCGAAAAGACCAATTGATTGGCAGGTTCATTCACCTGCGCTGCTTGACAGAACATAAAATGTCCGTTAGTTAAGCATCAACCACAACGCGATTTAATAGCTTTCAACATAATTTATAATCGTTTCATATTATGTAAAACAGCAACAGCATCATGTATTGAGAAAAAAAAAACACAAACTAAGCAGAAGGTTTACTGAAGTGTCGCAGGCACTGAGTATCATCATACTCACCATCTGTAATTTCACTGCTGTCAGTGGAGGCATATTCAGCACACTCATAAGTCTCGCAGAAGTCCGCACGGACAAGATCGTTTCCACACTTATAGTTTGGGATAAGGTCATAATGTACCCACCCACTTTGTGGCACTGCAGTCCGTCATCTGGCTGTTTCTCTGGCTTGAATCATTTTTACCTGCGGAAAGTACACTTTTGATGAAGCCAGTATGAAAAAACTGCGTATTTTTAGATTATTCGGGAAATGTGGTGAAGGGCATGGATCAAACTACGATGGGATATTTCAGGCTATTTATGCCAGTAACTCCTTTATGTTCCGGAAAGATACAACCAGAATGAAAATTGCTGTTTGTAATGTCTGGATTTTTTCTTACTCTAAAGTTATTTATTAATAAGGAGCAGTGGCGGCTGGTTTGCGCGCAAACAAACTGAATCACACTGTTAGTAATACAAGACTGAATGTAATTTACAAATAACTATTTAACAAGTGATATAATAATGTATCATTACTGCTTAGCTTAAAATTGAAGTGGAAAATTCAACTGTTAAAGCATGAAATAATGTAGCCTACCACGAATCAGTGAATTTGAGTTATGGGTATATTATCAGTAATAAAGTAATCATTAAAAAAAAAGTATCAGCCATTTGTATCAATGCGATTCAGAGATGAAGGCCATAATACTAATGTTATCCACTAGAGGGAGCCACAGGAGAGCAAATCCGTTGAAGATCTAAGTTTAAAGATTGTGAAAATTGTTCAATAAATTTACTTTTAGTAAAAAGAAAAAGAAAAAAAGCATATTAATTCATTATAGTTTAATAAATTTTAATAAAGCCCAATATAATAAGTTAGCAAAAACTGTGATCTCCAAAATACTTATAGACCATTAATTTTTTTATTTAAAATGTAATCCTAATGATATTGACAATATATTTGTCAAGTTGCAGACATGACTGAATGTATGTCCAATTGCAGAAGAGACACTTTATTTTGTCTATTTTAATATAGTAGCATACATATAATAATACTTTCATAAAGAGACACTTTAATAATAATAATAATACGTTTAATTTATATAGAGCCTTTCCAGGGCTCAAGGACGCTTTACAATAAACAAGCAACAATAAAGGCAATGGACAAAGACAGCAGACAAAACAACAGTAGGTAGATGAGAGTGTAAGTACTGAAAATGAGAAATTGGGTAGATGGGGCGGCACCCAGCAGAATACATTCAGATATAAAAAAATGCAGGCCAACTTAAGAATTATGACATTCAGAAAATAAGTAAGTTTTGAGCATGGATTTGAATTCAGAAATAGTATTAACAGAACAGAGTGATCAGGGAGAGAGAGTTCCACATTTTGGGTGCAACAACACTGAATGATCTGCCCCCCATTGAAGCAAGGCGATGCCGAGGGACGACGAGAAGGCTAGAGTCAGAGGATCGTAAAGTGTGAGTCGGGGTGTAGGGGTGGAGCAGGTTACAGAGATAGGGGGGAGCCAAGCCGTGCAGAGATTTAAAAGTGAGAAGGAGAAGCCCAATATAATAAGACAAATATATTTTTGTCTATTTTAATATAGTAGCATACATATAATAAGACTTCCATAAAGAGACACTTAAAGACACATATATTTTATTTGGAAAGAGACATATGCCCATTGTATCTACATTTACCTTCTGTGTCGTTGTTCACAACACTTCGGTAACAGGACTTTGAAATAGCAAACAGGAAAAACGTCTCGGGTTACTTGACTGTAACCCTGTTGCCTGAAAAAGCGGGAACGAGATGATGTGCTTGATTTAAGCGCTATGGGAACGCTTTTGTGCGTGACCAGCTGTGAATATATGTGTGCAACACGTCAATGGAATTGACTTTGAGCTTTTATAGCCTCGGACAGTGACGTCATTGATGCGCACGTCAGAGGCTATAATTAGATGTGCCACAGATGCATCGGCAGGTATAATTTTGTCTGAAGAGCAGTCATGGGACATCCCCAGTGCGGCAATAAAGCGCAGCATCTCGTTACTACTTTTTGAGGGAACAGGGTTACAGTCAAGTAACCTGAGACGTTCCCTTTCAAAAGCTACACTCAATGCTGCACTTGATTTAAGCGTTATGGGAACGTGAATACCCACGCCACCGCACTGTGGGTGTCTGGACCCCTTACGGTTGTGTAGTGTGTGCTCACAAGAACGCAAAGAAGGTCTCAGACATGAGCTTGTGATGTCGACTCATGGACGTGAGAGCCTGGAGTGGCATGAACATCCAAACTATAAATCTTATGAATGTGTGCGGAGAGGACCAGCCTGCCGCATCACAAACATGCTACAGGGCGGCACCCCCCGCCAAGCTTGGGAAGAAGTGGCCCCCCCTAGTAGATTGAACCCAGATGCCTACTGGCGAAGCTTGACCGTGCATCTCATAGGCAAGGGCAATAGAGGCGGCCGCCACAAAACAGACAATTTCATATTGGGTGAGGGATTCACCCAATGTGACATTGTCTGTTTTGTGGCGGCCGCCTCTGTTACGGCCACCATGACAAACAAATAGTTGCTCTGACTTACGCCACTGGCTAGTGCGGTGGACATAGGGCTGAAGAGCACGGACTGAGTCTCACTTGATCCGGCGTTGTGAACGGCGGAGGGCAGAAGGCCTCAAGGTAGCCAGGATAACAATGCAAGATTCTTTTTAAAGAAGTAATAACCATAAGAAAACTATCTTAAAAATCAGAAGTTTATCAGACGCTAACCCTAGAAGTTCCAACGGGGTCTCAACCAGACCCTCCATGACTATAGCTAAGTCCCATGAAGGGATCTTGGTTTTAACGGGAGGCCTCAGCCGCCTGGCTCCACGAACGAAGCGGGCGAGCAGAGGATGTTTCTCAAGTGCCCCCCCCCCCTTAATCAAGGCGTGGTAAGCCGATAAAGCAGCCACATAAACCCTGTGAGTGGCGGGGCATATGCCTGCTGATAATTTTTTCTGCAGGAAGTCCAGAACTGAAGCAATCTGGCAGTTAACTGGATCTGCATTACGTGCAGTGCACCACCTTTCAAAGACACCCCATTTATTGGCATAACTTCCTCTAGTGGAGGGAGCCCTAGCACTGAGAATGGTCTCTATGATATAAGCTGAAAACCCAGTGTCCCTCAGTTGGTACCCTTCCGGGGCCAAGCATGAAGTTTCCCCAACTCAGGCTGGGGATATTGTCCCCTGCGTTTGAGACTGAAGGTCCTCCTGTTCGGTATCGCCCAGTGCGAGCCGTCGAGGAGAGATATTATTTCCGAGAACCAAACTCTGTTCAGCCAACAAGGCGTGTGCCCTCGACGTCAACTTATTATACTATTGTGGGTGCAGGGGCGTGTGGTTGCGCCAGTCCGATGCGCCAGTCCAAAGAGACGCTCATGGACTGTCTCTTCTCTGGGGCTCATCGTCACTTAAGGAGTCAGCACTCCTCACCAAGCCGTGTATAATAACATCCACGCTGGTGGGGGTCAGGCTGGTGCTGCTCTGCACACTATGGCAGTGTTGCAGGCATACCAGGCTGATCTGCTTAAAAAAGAAAAGAAAATAAGAAGAACAAAAGGGGGGCTCAAAAGCAGAGTGTGGCGAGTTGCGCTCCCCCTCGTAAAGACTGGGGACTGGCTCGCTATCACTTCTTTAAAAAGAATCTTGCATCCTCATCGTGACTACCTTGAGGCCTTCCATAGCATTGGTGTGTGTCTGATTCAGCCATAGGAAGTGAACACGGAGGCACACACGGTTTGTTTTGTAAATCCCTCATTTTCTTTTTGTTTCTTTTTCTTTCACTTGTCAGACAGAGTGTAGAGGAAAAAGAGAGAGATTTTTCTGGGCACTGCCTAGCAAAAACCAACTCATATCAGAGGAAACAGAGAGTTTTTGAGAGAAGCACACACACATCACAGTATGGTCTGAAGACAAAATACCTGCACATGCATCTGTGGCACATCTAATTATAGCCTCTGACGTGCGCGCATTCCAATGACGTCACTGAGGCTATAAAAGCTCAAAGTCAATTCCATTGACGTGTTGCACACATATATTCACAGCTGGTCACGCACAAAATAGTTCCCATAGCGCTTAAATCAAGCGCAGCCTTGAGTGTAGCTTTTGAAAGGGAAAAATAATAAAGGCATGACTTATAGCGCATCCAGCTAGCCAGCTCTGTCCAAGCTCCATGATCCTTATTTTTTCTTAATTTGAATGCCTTGTGAAAGGATTTTTTGTAAAGATCAAAACAAATTTAGTTTCATCTCGGAAGAAGATATATTTTTTACCTTAAAATAATGTTTTCAAAATCGTTTCAGTGGTTCATCAAGTCGTGACATGGTGAAATGCACTTATGCCACCGCTTTGCGGTCCTTTATCGGATATATCCACGCTATGTAATATTGCCAGATCGGGTCGCGTATCAGTAGTCCGAGTGAGACATAAGAAAACTACAAATTTGACTTGCTTTACGGCAAGCGTTACAATTGCCGATAGGTGGAGCGTACTCGACAGTAGACTACAACTACATGTAAGATACCTAACAGCCGGGTAGCTGGGGTATGATTCCAAAGCCGGTGATGGATAAACAGCGCATGTTCGTGCGCGTGCAACAGTAGGATGCGGTAGGCTAATTTATTTACGACAGCAGTAATGGTCAATTCGGCTTCCAACCTGTAGGGCGACCGCAGAGGAAAAGTTACTTGGTGTTGCTTTAAGCAAAAAAAGGGAACATTTTGATAACACTTTTCAGTTAAATTTGTTCACATTAGTTAATGCATTAGGTCCCAAGAACTAACAATGGACAATTTTTATTTATTAATCTATAGTTAATATTAATCTATAAATATACTATATTTATGCTATACTATATGTCATGGTTATGGACTCTTATTTGTTATTCTGTTCTGTTTCCTTTAGTTCATGTTTTCCTGCTCTGTTTAGTTTCGGATTATGTCCCGGCTGTGTCCGAAATTGCCCCCTATACCCTTAAATAGGGCACTATTTGAGGGGACAGCCATTTGTAATGGTGTCCGAACCATAGTGGATGTTATCGAGTGCACTCATTCCCTCAATGCACCGGAATAACAAGTGTACAACC